GTGCGTGCCCTACAGTGGACTGGTGTCCTGGCCCTGGTGCGAGGGTGTGCGTGCCCTACAGTGGACTGGTGTCCTGGCCCCTGCGTTCCTGCTATATCACCTCACAACCCAGAACTGAAAGCAGCAGTTAGAAAGAGGATGGATGTGTTGTTATAAATATTCCAGTTACAACACAGCAGTTCAGCCATCCCTGTACATCTCTGACATTTCTGCTGGGATGAATAACTCACTCCTCCTACACAAATCCTATTAATTCATTTAGGAGTTTTTCCGAGATGCACTAGAAGGCAGAAATGCCTTTACGATATGCCTTTGTTTAGAAACAACTGGTGTCTTTTAAATAACTGGATACAAGCTGCTCTTCACAAGGCTTTAGAGAAATAAAATGGAAGGCAGTTTGAATTTCTGTTTCAATACAGCAATCGTACAGACGGGACGTAACCAGATAAAGATCTTTAAGGCCAGAGTTCACAAGGTTTGAGAAATCACTGCCGAAATTGTGACGAGATTCCTGAAAATATCACCACTGCAATCTATTGTAATCCATGTGTTATACTTCAATACAATATTATACAATATACAACCACCTCTCGTTTAAGCTCGTTTTTATTAAGGTAAAGAAAGGCCTCTCCTGATCCAAATACAAGATGTAAAAATCCCAGTCCAGTGCACTCTGCATGACAACAACAGTCACTGGAGTCTGCTGTCAGTGCCACTGCACAATGAAGTCATTCATCAGCAGCCTGTGTTGGTTTAAACATCTCTCGAATGCCTTCAAGAACGAAGGTATTGAAAAGACCAGCCTTGACCATTTACAGGAAGGCAACATCGTCTATAAAGGTTATATAAAAACCGAAGGCAGGAAAAGGATCTATTAAAGATCCTCAGAGACATACTGAATACCTTTTCCGAAAGCCTGGTGTAAGAAGAACAGCAACTGAACATTAAACAGAGCATCAACAAATTCCCTGGGATGTGCACCAGACCCAGAACATGATCAGCAAATCTGAGTTCCGAACAAAATAAACTCGTAAGAAAAAAAAACTTTCAACTGTTTAACCACGTTGAACAAATGAATTCCCTATCAAAGGAACAGTGCTGGTAACTGCGTTTTAACACAATCCACTGAAAAAACAGTAAACAGCGACTCTAAACAGGAACCTTCTAGCCTTGAAATGTAGAGATCATGAACTCGAGCTTTTTGGGCCAAACTACAGTACATTCAGAATCCCTTAACTGTATACTGAATTACTCAACAATAATTTCTTACAAACATCCAAGAGGGAAAAAGCTTAGAAGCTTGGATTACCTTTAAAATGCCTTTATCATCTCATCTATGGTCAAAGAAAAACACCTTGCACTAATAATGCAATTCCCTTTATTTTAACCGTTTAATTAACAGCAAACTATATAAAGTACATGCCACTATGCTGACTTCAGATATTCTAGGTGCATAACTGGGCTTCCATAGCAAAAAGAAGTCTGCCAGAGGTTAAGAGCACATGGGCTCAACATAGTTAATGAGCCTTCTTCCGACACATTTCTTCATTATTTGCCAATGAGGTTTAACATCTTAAAACACACACGCAAAGTCACCTATATACTTTCAAAACCGAAAACTATCTGATGTGAAACTGTTCAATTTCCAGTGGATACTGCAGGATCTTTTCAAGATGATTTTTTTGCATTTGTGTGCATCAAAAGGTTTTAACGGTCCAATTAAGTAGGTATTACAGGTCATTTAAATAATTAAACCAGATAAAGGCGCTTGGATGAAGCAAAAACCAGAATACACCAGGCCCTCTGAGAACCAGGTCCGGCACCGATGCTGCAGGGAGACTGAAGAACGAGACAGGCCTGAAGCAGGACCCTACCCACCTTAAAACTAAGACAACCGAGACATCAATGGGCACAGCAAGTCACACTGTCAATAAACCCGTCCTGAAGCTCCATGCTCTAGTCAAACAGAATACCAGCTTAATGTTTAACACAAAACGCATATTAACCTTCTGAACCCTCTCAGCAAATAACAAAAGATGCAGTCGGCTACCTGACACAGACATTTCGTTTGGCACATTAAGATTTAATTTATCAACCACCAAGTTCTCAGAAGAAATTGCCTACTATTAATAAACCTTCTGAAGTGAAATTCTAGGTCACTGCGAGGCAGCAGGAACTGAAATATTAGCTCAAGTGTTCCCATTTCACGTTTGATAATGAGCTTTGTATTCGCACGGCTCTCCACTGTATACTCTGAAGAGTCTTACTTAACCTGCATTTACAACGGAGTCCAGCACTCCAAGAAAGATCTTGGTGGGGAAAACTAATCTTTCACGGTCCTTCGCTGAACACATGCCCTCTGCTTCGCCAAGAGAAACGTTTAGACGGATTCTTAAACCTTTCTCCACCTTCTGCTACTCAGCAAAAGCAATTTACTTATTATATATAATATTATGCTTAGAAAACCAATGCGAACGAACACAGTGATCCACTGGCTTTACTCGGATAATACTAAGAGTCTGATCAGCACCATCATCTGTGAAGAAGGGAGGGTTTCTGAATTTTGGGCACAAAGTCGGGTTTGGTGTTAGCCTTTCGTGTAATAGTCTAGTGGCAACGGTAAATACTGTACTGTGAGCTGAAACCAACTAAGCAGTTACAGCGTTTGCTGTAAATAAATGTTACATTGCTTTTAACTTGAGGCCAGTTCCAATATTTCTGTGGCAGTTCCACAGGATTATAAGACCAGGCTGCAGTGTCGGCACAGAAACATTACATCAGTGCAGTGCGTTTTCAACTTAGAAAGTAACTGTACTTCCCTGAACTTTACAGTGCAATACGCAACAGTGTCACTGACTTTCTAGACGGTTGAAAAATGTATGGAAAAATTTGGAGATTTGGAAAAATAACAGAGGCCTAATAACGGACTTAACAAAATTGTTTTTCTGTTAATGCTTCCAAAACATGCTGTGCAGGCCTTCAATTTTGCAATTTAATACTGTACGGGAGAAGTGGTACCACCCCACCTCCACTCACGTTAACCAGTGTTTTGAGAGCAGGAGGTGTTATTTAGGCAGCGTCTCTCCCGAGCTACAATTGAGCAACGTTCCTGCTCCTCTATCTAGCTATCTAGCTCCGTGCTCTGAGCTTTAGTGAGTCAGCGAATGTCTCGCCCCTCCAGTCCCGCACACAGCACTCCACATCAGCACTCCACTGGGGCCAGCAGCCAATCAGAGTTCAACAAGTACCACATGCACTCCTGAGCTGACATGAATGGAAATCTGAGCCACCAACCAGCACAGCCCTGGAGTTAGTGTGTGTACTGCACACAGCACCTCAGACTGCTAATCTGGGCTGGATCCCCCAGATTCAGGTTGTGAACTACAGCACAGTCACTAAATGCCCTCCTTTCACAATGCCTGCATTGTAAAAGAACACAAAATGCAGGTTTTAAGTTTCTTACAGCCTTATTCTTGTGCCTCGAAGCTCCACCATCTGGCTGATCTCTGCCACCCACATTCTTTTAACAAATTAGAACTTCAATTCCAATATTCTTTCTTTTCTGTGTTTAAGGACATCTACTCCTTCAAAATGCACACTACTATTATAATTAACACAGACAGTGTGTTCCAGCAGTCCACATTGTCTAGAGGACGAGTCTAATAACCCTCAGATCCTTTTCAAAACTTGCTTTTTCCAAGATCGGCACATCCCATTTATGTCTGTAATGCCCGTTACACCTACAGGGACTACAACCTACATTTAATTTTATTTCCCAGGTTTTTGCTGCCAGAAGTGAACAGCGCATAAATCTTCTTATTTCCTTTGCTACCTCTAAAATTCCCCATTCCTACATATATTATGTATTATTTTGTAATATCTGTATATTTAACAGTCAGGAGTCAAGCTCAGTAATGTCTAATAGGACAGCAGACAGCGGTCTAAAGACATCATTATAATCTCTATGTTAAATCCA